TTGGCGTTTCGGGTCGGAATCTGCGGGCTCCATGCAAAGACAATCCAAACCCCAATCCCTGAACCCTAAAATCATAAACCCTAAACCCTAAAATCCTAAACCCTAATCCCTAAACCCTAAAATCCTACACCCCAAAGCATCCCAAGCCTCGCTGATTAGCCTAAGGGTCCAAGTATCCAAAACCTGTACTGTAATTACTATTACCCAAAACCCAAGTACCAAATTATTGGGTACTTGGACCCTCTGGGTTAGCCAGGTAGGAAGGCCCGCGGCTCTTATCGGGAGCAGTGCTTCCGACTCCCGAGCACAGGTGGGTACTGACTCTTTCTGGTTCTTAGTAGGGAATATGGTTTAGGGTTTAGGTGTTTAGGGTTTAGGGGTTTAGGGTTTAGGGCGGATTAAGGGATTTAGGGTTTAGGGTCTAGGGGTTTAGGGTTTAGGGTTTAGGGGTTCAGGGTTTAGGGTTTAGGGGTCAGGCGAATATGGGAATAATGTCGTAGCATATAGGGATTACGTAGGGATTCTTTAAGGTTTGCGGTTTATGGTACGGGTTCTGGATAATGGAAGAGAGAATGCAAACTACAACTTTTGTACTTATATATTGGGGAACATGGGAATATAGTACATGGGGATTATGTAGGGATTATATTCCCCTTTTTTCCCGAACCAGGAGAAGAACTGTGTGGCAGAGGGAAGGGGGGTCTCGAACTAGGTGTACGTAGGTTTGGTTGGGGTTGCCCACCGCTCTTGCCTGAACAGTAACCCTGAACGCCTTGAGTCACATTCAATTTCGCAGGGTGTAAAGTTTCCCTGCACCCCAACTCCCCAAGGCCGCCACCATCCCCCTGCCGCCCCTCAAAAAGTCACACCAAGCCTAAGCCCCAACTAAGATAGCAGTTTCCGTTGTTTTGTCCATTCCCTACATACCCCTAAGCCACCTTAAGCTCTAAGCCCTAAACCTTAAACCCTAAAACCTAAACGCTACACCTTACTCTCTAAACCCTAAACCTTAAACCACCACTAAACCCTAAACCTTATAATCTCTAAACCCCAAACCCTAAACCACTAAACCCTACACCTTAATCTCTAAACCTTAAACCCTGAACCCTAAACCCTAAACTTGCACCTGCTCCTCGGGCGCTTTCTTTCGTGCAGCAGGCGAAAAGAGGTGTTGAAAAAAGACCGTAAACTTTTTATCCCTAAAACCACAATTCCTAAACCACAATTCCTAAACCCCAAACCCTAAACTTACACCACTAAACCCTAAAGCCTAAACCGCCAGCAGGCCGCCCGGGCCCACTTGGAGGCCTTGTTGCCAGCACTGGCTGCTGAGGAGGCCCTACACCCTTAATAGTACTTTCCATTTTCTTTTCCATTATTCCTATATAACCCCAATATAACCCCAAAATAACCCTAAACCCTAAGCAGTATTTTCCATGTTCTCTTCCATTCTCTCTATATAGCCCCAATATAACCCCTATATAACCCTATATGATATAGTAGTTTCTATTTTCTTCTCCATTATCCCTATATAACACCAAAACAGTCTTAATATTACCCCAAGCATCCCTATATAGCCCCAAAAGATTAGAGAAACCCTAACCCTAAACCCTAAACCCTGAAGAGCCCCCTCCCTAAAACCTGAGGCCCAAGCTGAGGCGCCAAGGAGACTAGAGTTGCTCTCAGGCCGGTCATTTAGGGATTTAGGCGTTTAGGGGTTCAGGGGTTTAGGTGTTTGGGGGTTTAGGGGTTCAGGGGTTTAAGGGGTTCGGTTATAGGAATTTAGGGTTACGGGGTTCTAGGGTTTAGGCGTCTAGGGTGTAGTATCTGCGGGAGTTTCTTGGGAGGGTCAGGGGATTTAGTAAGTATGTTAGCAGTTGCATTAACTGGCTGCATTAAATGGTTCACTGGGAATATCCGCATGCTTATTAAGTCCCCCTGACCCCCCAAGTAGTGTTCAGAAGATCGAATTCAGGGGGGTCACGGGCTTATACGAGTGTAGGATTCCAGGGCTGCGGGATTTAGGGTGCGCTGGGTAGGGTTTAGGATTCAGGCTTGTTTGATTTAGGGCTTAGGTTTAAGGTTTTTGAGTTTTTGGTGATAGGGTAGCTGGAGGACATCGTCTAGCACTTTCGCGGACCAGAACACTGTGAACTTTTCTGGGGATGGTAGGGTGGCTGGACAACATCTTCTGTCACTTACACCGGCCAGAACTCTGTAAGTCTTTAGAATTTGGGGTGCGCGTGTATTTCGGCTGGACAACATCTTCTGTCACCTACACCGGCCAGAAATCTGTAAGTCTTTAGAATTTGGGGTGCACGTGTATATCGGCTGGACAACATCTTCTGTCACTTACACCGGCCAGAAATCTGTAAGTCTTTAGAATTTGTGGTGCACGTGTATATTGTCTTGCACGCCGTCCGCCACGGGGATAGCTTTAAGGGGTAGGGGTGCAGGCTGTAGGATGTAGGATTTGGGCTTGGTGCTTGGGATCTATCAAATGTCGGACAAAAAATTGAGGGCTTTGTTTTGGGGGAACGCGGTTTGAGGGTTACCGTGCAAGGTCCTGGATTTACGATTCATGGTGGGCTCAGGATGTGGTTACAGGCAGCCCACTGCTGCTTTCAGAATCATCATGCCAGGGCCGATGCGTTTGACTTCATCTCAAGAAGCTGTTTTTTATGGTTCAGAATCGGAGAGAGCCCTGAAAGCTCTGAGACTTTGAGACCTTCAGTTCCTTTAAGCGTAAGACCCCCAAACCTGGACGTGCATCATGCGCATCATCAGCACGTGCCGCAGGATTTGCCCAGACGACTCTTCGTTGTACTCCCATCGCCCACAAGTACCAAGCAGTTTTCCTGAGGAGTTCTACCTGCGCAGAATGAAACCCAATGTGCTCCCACGTATCTCGCTAAGTCCTAAACCCTGAGCTCCCTGTCTTGAGGCCTAGCCACGGCATTTTTGAGCGCCATGCTCCAGAGATCCAAGGCTGCCAGGGCGAAATCGAATGTGCTATAGTCTAAACTCTTTAATTGTAGTTATATATGGATAAAATAAGGGAGTACTATATACAGCTGCAAATATCATAGTCCTTATAACAAGGAACCCCCTTAAAAGGTACCCCTAAGTTTGGGCAACCCTAAGCTCTACGAATCCGAATATAACCCGGTTTAGGGTTGAGGGTTTAGGGTTGAGGGTTTAGGGTTTAGGGTTTAGGGTCTGTATCCCGCTTTAAAGGTAGCACTAGTCTTTGGGAAACCTCGGCTACAGGCTCCGCCGCTGGCCTTTGTGCGAAGAGTATCTAGGTGGCACTTTGGAATAGGGTTTAGGGCTGTAGGGTTTGGAGTTGAAGCTTTAAGGTTTAAGGGTTGGGGGTTTAGGGTTAAAGGTCTAAAGTTTTGGGTTTAGATGGGTTTAGGGTTCAGAGTTTAGGGTTCAGGGTTTCGGTCCAGGTGGTACTTTGGGACTTCTGCATGATCCTGCATTTGCGTTACTTTAAGGTTCCAAATGGCCAAAATTAGGTCAGATCTCTAGCCCTAAGGGTCCAAGGACCCAAATAATAGGGTTTTAGGGCCCAAATACTATAATACTTATGGTATTTGGGCCCTACAGCCCTATTATTTGGGTCCTTGGACCCCTAGGGTAGACTTCTTCATAGGTGTTCTTTACAGGCTTGGGGCCCTAGGGCTATTTTGTTAAGCGAACTTATCTCACATTTTTTTCGAGGGCCCTTAAGATACTACCCTGAACCCTAAACCCTACCCGGACCCTCCTATGTAGTTCCTTTTTGGGTAGTATATTGTAATCCCTTACCCAAAAACGTATTCTAAACCCAAGATGGAACTACATAAGAGCCCTTGGGTAAACCCTAAACCGTAAACCCTAAACCTTAAACCCTAAAACCTAAATCCCTAACCCCTAAACCCTAGACTACTCAGGTATACGTCTTGCTGAGTGGCGCCTTGGTACGACCGCTGGCGGTGTCCCGGGAGTCTCGCCGGAACCTGCAGCAGGCATGGACAACCCAGGGTTTCGGGTGTATTGGGTTTAGGGTTTAGAGTTTAGGGTTTAGGGTTTAGAGTTTAGGGTTTAGGGTACATGACATACAACATGATTTGAAATAGTACAGCTGACGGAAAGTCTTTTAGAATGCACCCCCGCGAGCTTACCCTCTAGACCCCCGCTGTTCCCAAATGGATCTACTCTTTCCACCTTTGGCCCTAAACGCGATGCCCCAAATTCCTTAATCGGAAAGCCTGAACCGGTTCTGTTTAGGGGCCGTTCAGTGATTTTGAGCTTACAACGTACATTGTCAAAACAATTTTTGTGGTTTGCAAGGCACCCTGATTTTGCTCTTTTCATCATCTAGCATAATAGTAATAGAAGCCGATTGCCGCCGTGTAGGCGTGGCACATAGACAGTTGCCCGCGAAGCAATTTTGTTTCTTCAGATCAGTGCAACCCTAAACCCTAAACCCCTAAACCCTAAACCCTACACTGATGCTGCTTCCTCTCGAAACTCTAGATTCAGTGCGTGGGCGTCTCTAAAGCACAGGGCTCCTCATGAGCTATTTGGGTTTAGGGTTTAGGGTTTAGGGCTCAAAAGAAGTCGGAAGGTGTCTTGCTGCTTGTGATTCTGGACGCCATTTGAAACATGGGCTGGAAGGGACGTGTAGGAACGTTTTGGGTTCTGTTCCGCGGAAGCGTTTCTTGACCAGCCCCAAGACAAGGTCCCGTCCAGCAACCCAAAATCTCAAAAGTACATGAGCTACCGGGGTCATATAAGGCTACATGGAGTTCTATAGGGGTATACGAGGTTCCATAGGTCAAAATGCAGCCAGACACAAGTTCAGCGCCTGCAAGACAAGGCCTATTTGGTCACACAGAGCTTGGATTTGCCTGCTGCTTATGGTAATGGCTTCTGTCTACCGTGAGATAGATTGTTGAACTAGCTCATCTCCCATGATGGCAGTCGCAGCAATCAAACTTAAAAAGTAGTCGTAAGCGTAATTCGCAATTCGTGTTAGTAATGGTACTCGCAATGAGTTAGGGTTTTAGCAGCTGTAATGGTACCTAGTGGCACCTCTACAAGTAGCAGCATATTTACAGTTATCTTTTGCAGAGCTATGCCTAAAAGCACCTTGACTTGAAGACTCTGAAGCCTGGATACTTCTCCCACTCACTAACAGTTGGAATATATATATATATTATTTGATACTGTACTTATATAGATGCCTCAAAAGGTTCCCTATTATAGTCTGCTATCGGGTGGAAGCAGGACCAAATCTGTGACGCACCAGCACAACACTTCTCGGCCCTCCTAGGCCCTAAACTGTTGACATTGCGAGGCTCTGCTACTGTTGCTTCAGCGGATGCTGCCAGACCAGGCAGCCTTGGGTGAACTACATATGAGTAGGTTTGAACATGATTTTGTTTTCAGTTACACCTACTTCCTATATGAGCTATAGTCTACTATAGGGCTGGTGAAAGGAGTTTCTTGGAGTTTAGACTCTAGCTTGTATACGTAATCCTTCTAAAGCTCTAAAAATTAGACTTCTATGGCCCCCGCCCCCCCCCCCCCAAACTTACCCTAGTAAAGTTCATACAAACATTGGCAGTTGACGATGAGGATGACATGCGCAGCGCTAGTGGCAGTAGCAGCCAAACTGTGACTGGCGTAAGAGACGTTGCAAACGCAATTACCAGAGGCAGCAGCCTAGGTAAACCGTGAGGGTTGAGGGTTTTGGGCATTGGGGTTTCTGACTCTAGTCATGACAGAAATGCCAGTACATCTGCGAATGGTGATTGAATCTTGCCGGCTATGACAAGGTGCAGAATATGCAGCCATAGCAGCAGAGACAAGCTGACAGTGATGCGGAACTGCAATCAAGAATCAGGATGCTAGACCTCCCAAACACCTGAAATAATGACGTTCAACGACAAATATAATGGGCAGAAATACTCTTACTATTGTTATTATTTGAGTATTTATGACAGCTGTTCTTCTTAGAGCGGCACTCTTACTGGAGGTGTTTAGGAGGTCCCGTGCAGAACAGTCAGTGACTCCTCTACAAGTTTCTGATATCCCCATGAGTATGTGCAAAAGTCACGGTCAGGATCTACCTGCCAGAGGGGAGGTAGATAGCAACCGTGATCTCGGTATATACCTTGCACAAAATTATTACTTGCAAAACCCTTCATGATCCCCATATGTAATCCTTGCATAACTCCTATGCCAATAAGCGTACCCTGAATCTGAAAACCTAGTACATCATGGATACTGCCTCCACCCATAAACAGCTTGATAGTATGATGCTTTAATTATACAGAGCCCGGAATATGACTCCGACTCCAATTATAGACTGTTAATGGGTGGGGGCAGGACCCTAAACCCTAGACCCTTAACCCCTAAACCCTCAACCACCCGAAACCCTAAGCCATCCTACATTTTGCCCAAGTGAGCGCCCTCAACCCAAAACCTGACGACCAGGACCCTTCCAGTACCTTGAGTAGGGGTCATTCAGGGGTATACAGGGGTATATAGGGGAATGGAAAAGAAATGGGAACTACCAGGTCATTCAGGGTTTTGGGGTTTAGTACCCTTGATTCGGTGGGTATTTCGGCCCTGGTCATACTGGCTTTCAGTAGGGAACACACGAAGAAAATCCCTGATATAATCCCCATATCATATTCCCTACTAAGCCCCTCACTAAGTCTAACGCCTAAACCTTAAACCCTAAACCTGACACCTTAAAACTACACAATCCCAAGAGCATTGTAAGTAGAGGGTAGGAGGCGTAACCCTAAATCCTAAACCCTAGACCCTAAACCCTAAATTGGAGGAGGGTCTAGGAAGTTGTGAGGCCTCAGATGTGGCCATGGGATTTCAGCTTCCCGAAATCGAGGCCCAGGAGCCTGGTGTCAGGGATCTTGGGCTGATTTTAGGGGGAATGTAGGGTTTAGAGTTTGGGGGTTTAGGGTTTAGGGGTTTAGGGGTCTTGGGTTTAGGGTATAGAGGAATCCCAGAGGGTCCAAGTACCCAATAGTTGGGTATATGGGTTTTGGGTAATAGTAGTTGTAGTACAGGTTTTGGGTAACTATATGGTTTTTGGGTACTTGGACCCTTAGGGTATATTACAGGGTATAAAGGGGTTTGGATTTAGGACTTAGGGGCAGGGGTCTAGGGGTTAAAAGTGCAGGATCTAGGTGTAGGCTTATGCCCTGACCCCTACTTTTGGATAGTTCATATCATGGTTGAGATTTCAACATCGTCCCCTCAAACACCATGCGCAGATATTGGCGGCTGTTCTATGTTTAGGCCCTCTGTAGGTATCCCATATGATAAGGCTTACACTGAAGTGGCTAGCCAAAAGGGACTAACGACCTCCATTTTGTTTCTCCGGGGAGGCTAAATTAAGATTTGCTTCTTCATAACTTATATCCCCTAAAAGCCACAAAATTATTAACCTATTGCTAAGTCCTCGTGACCCCCTACCCAAACCCTAAAAGTAGGTAAAATAATAGCCCAAAACACCTAAAAGCAGCCCAAAGGGCTATTATTCTACATACTTTTAGGGTTAAGGTAAACCTTACTTCAAGTGGTTAGTATTATTACTATTACCCAAAACCCAAGTAGCTAAGTATTGGGTACTTGGACCCTCTGGGTTACTCCAAGTGGTTAGTATTCGCAGGAGGCAGCGGAGCTAGCTAGACTGGTGTCTGCGCTGATGGCGGCTGAGATGTCTGAAGCACCCGAGTCACAATCAGCAACCGACTAGCTTTTTGTTACTTTATCTGTTTAGGGTTTAGGGTTTAGGTAGCTTTATCTGTTTAGGGTTTAGGGTTTAGGTAGTTGATGTTATTGTCCAAGCGCAGGCAAAGTTGTTTTTTCACTGGAATCCTGCTGCGCAGTCCTCTACTGCACGCCACAAGCCCTTAAGCAGTTTCATCCTTCAGAAATAACCCCAAACACACCCTTAATTTGGAGTACCTCCTAGTGGCGGTCGCACTGATGTACTTGCCTGATCGTTCTGTGTATTCCTCCCTTACATCACTTATACATTCCGAGATATTCCACCCCACGAGACCCCATCCTAATGACCGAAACCTCAAACTCGGAACCTTAAGCCGTACATTGCAGGCAGAGCACGTTGCAGAGTCAGACCCAAGCTCTCAAAGCGGACCGGGTGTCTGGGTCTCCTTGAAAAGCATTGTCTCTTCATCGCTCTGGTTACTCTTTGCTGTAGTGCGTACATGTATACAAAGACTTGTATAGAGCTATGAAAATTATATGTAGTCAGATATGTTCATAACTGTATATACATATATATGCTAACCCCTCCCCCTAGGACCAACCTTGCAATGTTCCAAAAATCCAAAATTCTAAAATTCCAAAATT